TCTCCCTGTTTTAGTTTTACTGTAAAAAGAAAGGTAAGGTCGGGTCTTCAGTCGGGCCGCGAATATGGCCCAGCTATCTGGGGCTTATAATTATATCGTGGTCTCTGGGAGTGTAGTTCACTATCCACATATCATTAATATATATTCTGCATTGTTGTAAAACTAGCTTCAAATGTTTGTTCTATATCTAGGCGGGTCGTTTCTCCAAAGGCAGTTGTTGTTAGTGTTTCTCGACATATTATGGAAGTATATTGGCTATGAAAAGCATGTACCCAAAGAGCAAAATGAATAGAAAAATTAAAGGAAGAACAAAAGGATAGGATCCATGCATATTACCAACAACGACGGTGTATGCAAGGGGACTTGGATTTTTGTAAACGCAGTGCGCTGCGGTTACAACCCAGTTCGGTCTTATTAGAGATCCACCGCATATATGGTATCCGTCTTTACGGAGAGAGACCTGCCATGGCCAAGAATGTGGAGCTGCATCTTTACCGTTCACCACTCGTGTGGACTGGAAGGGTCGCCTGCCACAACCTGTAACAAAAGTAACATATTGTCAAAAACGTCCTAACGAGTGCGCTGTCATACTCGAGAGGCTGGTGGCGGATATTCTACTGTCGCAGTCTTAATCTTGACACTCACCACAATCTGATTGCCTGGAACAGGCTTCAAACAAATATTTTTTTTTATCTTTCAGCCAGTAGTTTAGTTTTGTTTTACCGTCAAAATTATACTCCATACTCCAGAGAAAACATAACCAAGTATCAGACACATCTAAACGGCTTTCACCTAACTGATGGGGCTGCGTTGCATTTTGTGTTTGATGTTTAGGGAAATATAATATCAATTCTAATTATTCATTTTCCTTGTAATAAAACTCATTCTTGGCATGCAGTGAATCAACGTTTTAGCTAGGATTCTGTGAGTGACCGCCCAGTAACAGTTATGGGGCCATTATAAAAATTCTTGTTTTTCGGTATGCTACAACATACATCTTCAGAAGCGACGGTTACAAAATATGACAAGATTTAAAAAGATTAGGACTAAAGCGAGGGATTGGTAACTAGCTAGACAGCAATGAACAAAAGAACCTACATCCGCTGTGAATTAATGAAGAAAGAGTTTTTCACTACCGACGTTTTCATTTAGGGCGGGTTTTAAGTCCCGTATTAACAATGTTTCCTTGATTTTACACTGTATATCACATTGATCACTTTCTAGAATCTCAAAATGGTCCCATTTGATGTTGTGACCGGTAGAACTTGAATAATCAGCAAAAGCCGAGGCGTGATCCGACTTGAGTGAGAGCTCACGCTTGATACAGACATACAAGAATGAGATCTCTCGGTTCTCTTCAAGTTCCATCTTTGATTTCGCAGAAATCGAAGATTGTCTACAAAGCCAGTTGCTGGGATTGCGATGCCTTCTACATCGGTAAAACCAAAAGAACCCCTTTTTTTAGCCACCCTCCCTTGCGTGAATTTTTTCTTGTTTTTCCCCACCCCCCTATCACTTTTCTAATGGTCCGTCCCTAATTGAGATGAGAGGGACTTATGCCGATTATCCCATCAATAATTTGGTGCCTTTCCTTGAGGCTCCAATTAATACTCTTTGGCGTGAGAAACTCATAACTCGTCAACTTTTGTATAAAATGATGAGAAAGGGGGTTTACACACCAAAGGAAAATAAAGTGAAATAGAAACAGCGCACGTAGGCACCGCAAACACGCAGTATAATATTAAGG